GAGTTGATCTGGCCCGCAGAGGCCCTGCTGCTTCCTTCACCCCAGGCTAATCAGAGGCTGGGAGCAGAGGGAAGCTTGCGAAATCTCCTCCAGCCCTGTCTCCCACCCTGCAATGAGTGTGTGGCACTTCTAAGTGTTTGGCACTTCTGGCAGGCCGAGAGGAGATTTTGTGCCCTCCCCAAACACCCCAGGCCAATCAGAGCCTGGAGGCAGGGGGGAAGCACACAAAATCTCCTCCGTCTGAGCCCCTGCCCTGCAAGGAGTGTGCGGTGCTTCTAAGGAGGAGACTTCACACGCTTCCCCCACCCCCAAGCCCTGATTGGCCTGGGGGTGGGGAAGGGGACCACACAAAGTTTCCTCCCACCCTGGAGCATGTGGCACTTCTAAGCATCATGCACTCCTTGCAGGGCAGGATGGGTGGAGATTTTGTGCGCTTCCCCCCACCTCCAAGCCAATCGGGGTTGGAGGGCAGGCTCAGCACTTCAAGTCAACCACCAGCTGCTGCTTAGCTGGTGGTTGACTCTGTGGAAAGGTGGCCCCACTCCTGGGTCCCTGCTCAGGCCTATCTTAAGCAACCTCAACCCTGCACTATTTGGCAGGATTCCAGCTCCAGTCGCTCAGCCACAAAGGTTTTGGGCCAATTACCCAGGGTCAGCCCAGGCTGCGAAAATAGTCCTGCCCAGCTCTCCAGCTGGGCTCTAAGGCTGCCATCCAAAGGAGGGCCTAACGACCCTGGTCTGGGGCACCTCACCCTCCACCGCTTGGCTATCTCTGGCAATGCTGTGTTGCTTTCCTTCGTTCCGTTTCATTTCGTTTCGTCTGGTCTCACTCTCCTCTCCTGCCAGGAGAGAGTGCTTTTAACAGGTTCACTGGCAGCCTCAGGTGGGATCAACTGTCTCTGCTTAATTTGCAGCAGCCCTATCTCCTTTGCCCCTAATTGCTATGGGCTGTTGCTGCCTTTCTCTCTATCTGCTGTAGTCTTCCAGCCTGAATCTGTCACAACTCTAAGTGTGGTGCTTCCTTGCAGGGTGGGGACAAAGAGCGAGAAACTTCACATGCTCCCCCTCCCCAGGCTCTGATTGACCTGGGGCAGCATGGGGGAGCACATGAAGTCTCCTCCCACCGCCAGGGGCACAAGTACCTAGAGGGAACTGCCAATCAGGGTCTGTAGGTGGGAAACATGGAAGTGTCCTGGCCCCACCCTTCTGCCTGAGGCCCTGCCCCTTACAGAGCAGCCTGAGGCCACTTCAAAAATTTCTGAAGTGTGTCCCAGTCAAAAATTATTGCCTATTCCTGACCTAGAAGATAATAAGGTGAGAACTAATAGTCAACATGGATTTGTCAAAAACAAATAACGTCAAATCAAACTAATAGCTTTTTTTGACAGGGCGACAAGTCTTATGGAGCAGCAGTATAAAGTAGATGTGGTGTATCTTGATTTTAATAAAGCTTTTGGTACTATCTTGCATGTCTTTTTCAAACTATGAAAATAAAACCTACATGGACCCCCTACAAAGTGGGTACCTGACTGGTTGGAAAACCATTCTCAGGGTATGTCTACACTAGCCCCCTAGTTCGAACTAGGGAGGCTAATGTAGGCATTCAAAGTTGGAAATGAAGCCCGGGATTTAAATATCCCGGGCTTTATTTGCATGTTCCCGTCTGGCCGTCATGTCCGGTCCATGAGGAGCAACAGTTAATTCGAACTAAGGACTTAGTTCAAATTACCATTTCACTGCCGCATGTAGCCGTGGGCAGTTACTTTGGACTAGTGGAATTTAAAAATGGCGACCGGACAGGAACATGCAAATAAAGCCCAGGATATTTAAGTCCCGGGCTTCATTTGCAACTTCGAATGCCTACATTAGCCTCCCTAGTTCGAACGAGGGGGCTAGTGTAGACATACCCTGAGAGAGTAATCATCAGTGGTTCAGTTAAGTGGAAGGTGGAGAGGAGGGGCAGAGGGAACAGTTCTGGGTTCAGTTCTATGCAATATCTTCATCAATTAATTAGATAATGGCCCAGAGAGGACACATAACGTCTACGTCTACACTGGCATGATTTTCCGAAAATGCTTTTAACAGAAAACTTTTCTGTTAAAAGCATTTTCGGAAAAGAGCATCTAGATTGGCACGGACGCTTTTCCGCAAAAGCACTTTTTGCGGAAAAGTGTCCGTGCCAATCTAGACACGGTTTTCCGCAGAAAAGCCCCGATCTCCATTTTTGCGATCGGGGCTTTTTTGCGGAAAACACTACTGTGCTGTCTATACTGCCCCTTTTGCGCAAAAGTCTTTCGGAAAAAGCCTTTTGCCCAAACGGGAGCAGCATAGTATTTCCGGAAAAGCACTGACGATCTTACATGAGATCGTCAGTGCTTTTCTGGAAATTCAAGCAGCCAGTGTAGACAGCTGGCAAGTTTTTCCGCAAAATCATTTGATTTTGCGGAAAAACTTGCCAGTCTAGACACAGCCAACTAGTTTGAAGATGATACCACACTGGGGGAAAGGGATTGCAAGTGCTTTAGAGTATAGGATTAAAATTCAAAATTATCTGGACAAACTGGAGAAGAGCAACAAAAACTATAAAATTAAATGAAGACCTGTAAGGGAAGATTGCAAAAATGGGTTTGCTTATTCTGGAGAAGAAAAGACTGAAAGGGGGGAACAGTTTTCAAGTACATAAAATGTTGTTATAGGGAGGAAGGGAGAAAATTTGTTTTCAAACCTCTGAGAACAGGACAAGAAGCAATGAGCTTCAACAACAACAAGGAAGGTTTAGGTTGCACATTAGGAAAAACTTCCTGTCATGGTAGTTAAGCACGGAAATAACTTGCCAATGGAGGTTGTGCAATATCCATTAATGGAGATATTTAAGAGCAGATTAGACAATTATCTATCAGGGATGGTCTATACTTAGTCCTTCCCTGAGTGCTGGGGACTGGACTAGAAGACCTCTTGAGTTTCCTTCCAGTCCTACAATTCTATGATAATGCTTACCATAGAAAAAATAAAATTAGTAGCTTAAATTAGGCACCACTAAGGCAGATGGGAGATACATCTTTTCTTACAAGTTTTTATAAACAAATACTTAAGGTGTGAAATGAAATGTGCCATTACCTTGGAAGGAAGTATTCTTTTAAAGAGAGTTATTATTCATATTTATTTAGGTAAGTATCATGGGATCTGTTTTAGGGATTGGTAGATGCCAGAGGTGAAGTGTATAATGTTGCTTTGCTGATGGTTTATCTCCTTTCCAAGAGCAGCAAATTAGGCTTTTACCTCTAAAAGCAGCAGCAGCCATTAGAGCTGCTCCTTCCAGATTGTGTTTGCTCCTTAGGCACTTGATGACTTGATGGCTTGAAAAGTGTTTTATTATAGGACTATATGGGGGTTATGTAAAAATGGCTGACACACTTATTCTCAGAGCAAAAGAAGAAATGGACCATATGCCTGCCACAGAATATAATTCTCCATTTATTGTACCAGCTTCTGTTCAATTTTACTATGTTTAATAGTAATTCAACAAAATGCTGAAATAAGATTACACACTAAAATGATATTGTGGGTTTTTTTAATTTCTAGTGTAATTTACATGAACACCATAAATATATTTTAAATGTATACAAAATCTATATATTGGCATCACACCAAAGATTCTCATCATATGGTGGATTGCAACTTCAGAGACACATTGTGTTATGGACTTCCTCCACTGCCTGTCACTGTCTTGTGGTCTATACCTACCTCACACTCACAGTTATGTAGTATCCCTGGGGCAATGGCAATGTTAACTAACATTAAAAACAAATGGTTAAAAAGGGGTCTGTGCATTTGTAGCTATCTGTAGTGACTATAAGCAAATAGGTGAGCCAGCATTATCAGACCATCCAAATCTTCACAGACTACAGTTTGGAAACCTCACTACTATAGAGCTATGTCTTAATGGAGGGACAGCACAGTAGGCACAGCCCAAGTAGGAGAATATGAGAATTAATGGGCCAAGAATTCAGTTCTGCCTAGTCTTGGGTGGCTACTGCGTCCACACCACTGCTTCAGTGTTCTGGTGAAATGGGGAACAGCAACCTATGGGATCGACAGGTTCAAACACACCTGGAGGCCCTGACTGGCAGGTCTTATCATGTTTCCTGATTGGCCCGGGCATGCTATGCCAGGCTTAGGGAAAACATGTGGAAGCTGTCTGTGCAGCTAGGCTGATTCCTGGCTTGTTGCTGCAAACAGACCCTGCTGTGCACTTCTGATACTTTGCCTTGCTCCTGCTTCCTGGCTCCAGCCCTACTCCTGATACTCAGTCTTGCCTTGGGTTTTGATTCTTGGTTTTCTGCTCCATTCCCTACAGCTCACTCCTCTCTCCCACTAAACATACTTAATCTGACTCATTTAGATCTGGCCCAGCAGCATCCCATGGCATCTCACTAGTGTGGCCTGCTGCTTCTGGCCATGCCTCCTCAGACTAAACTGAGATCATGTTCTTGAATCCCCTCCAACCCAGGCTTTCGCCTCAAACAACACCCTTATAGTCATGTTCTTGTCAGGCTGGGCAAAAGAAATGTTAACCCACCTTTTTGTCCAATGGATTCTGTGCTGCTCCAGAGAGATAACATAGCTCTTCCCCCTCCCTCCCCCCCCC